GCGCAGCTGTGGCCACAGCCCGAGTCGGGGAAAGGCTGGCGCCGGCCACGGGTTTCTTTTGTTCCTAACGGCTCTCAGCTTTGTGTGTGTTCAGCGGAGCATACACGCCCCTCGCTGCTTCCACAAGCCCGACGGTGCCAGCAACTGAGCCGGGTCCTTAAGACACAAACACTTGTGGGGACAAGTGTGTGCCCAGCGGGGGACGCCCCCACACACAGGCAGGTGAGCACGCTCTGGAGGATTTTCCACTCCGGGCATCGCGTGACTGTCATCACGTCTTACAGGTTAGAAAACAACACAGAGAAAGTAACTGATCCACGCAGTGTACCACAGTGGAGCCAGTACTAAACCTCCAGGCCCTGCACTGGCGCGGGTGGGGGCGAGGAGGGAGGAGCGGAGAGGACGACATCACCCCCTCAACTGCTCCCACTGGAGGGGCCCAGGATGGGCTGGCTGGCGGGGAGGAGGTCTGAGGGTCTTGACTCCCGGGCACAGCTGGGAACTTTCAGATCCCATGTTTGCAGGCCCTTGCGTGCATCCCCTCCAAGCAGATGCCTCAGTGTCCTCATACCCAGATTGCCCAATTGCCCTCGGGCCACTCCTGCTCTGTCCCCTCTGCACTCCCGTGTTTGACACCGGGAGGGGACTGCTTGCCTTGACCTCCATGCCTGACAGTTGCCAGCCCGTGCTCTGTGCACACCAGGGACAGCGCTCCATATGGCCAGCAACTGCACCTTCCTCTCCTGGAGCCCACTCACCAGTGTCATCTGAGACGCTGGGCCTCTGGCTGCCGGCCGGGGAGCGCAGAACATCGTCACTGTACATGAGGAAGCTTTCGTAGTCCTCCCCACCCTGGGCGTCCACGATGGGAATGTCCGGGATGATGGGGACTGCAAGTGGGAGGAGGTGAACTGGGGCCCCAGCTGGCCTCCTGTCCCCCTGCCCAGCCTGCCCATCGCCACCCACCACTCACTGGACATGGGCCGCTTAGGCTGCGTGGCCAGGTTGATGATGGCCTCACGCTCAGGGCCCCAGCCTGCTCCATTGCGTGCCTTCACTGTGTAGCGGTAGGGCTGGGATTCTCGTAGGTTCTCGATGAGCAGCATCCGGTTCTTGGGGTTGTCCACCAGCACCTTCTTCATGGGTCCAATGGGTCCTGGAGCAGGGAGAGCGCTTCAGAGGGGTCGCCCAGGCTCCAACGTTGTCCCAACCCCACCCCTGACCTACACATGGAGGGGGCAGGGAGCGGCTGGGAGCTCCTGCCACCTGCCCAGCCTTTGCAACCTGTGCGTGACTGGCTCGGGGAAGTGTCACCAGTTTGCCTGCCCAAGTGCTCTTTGCTGACTAAGTGGTTCACGGTGGCACTACCATGACTTCTACCAACCAGCAAGTAGTCCTGTATCCATGGTGCTGCCACAGGAGGCTAGGTCAGGAAGTCTGGGGGCTTTCAGGACAAGAACCTCCCCAGCCAGTGCTCAGGGTTGCCAGCCCCGCCCCGGGCACTGTGCTGAGGCAGGGGTGGAGGCACCTGTAGCTACCCTGTGCTGGCCTCACACTGTGACCACAGGAGCCAGGGTGGGAGGATCATGTTGGCAGAGGGCTGGGGGGGGCACTGTCCAGTACAGGCCATGACAGCCAGGGTTCAGCAGGAGGAGCCATGGGCTGGAACGTCAGTGATTACTTTTCTTGGGGCCACAAGTCATTCCTGGGGCTGAAGGCCAGATCAGAGGGGACTCTGACTGCGGGCCACAAGTGGACTAAATGTAAGCTCAGGCCAAGCCAACAGTATTATGCCGCTGCCGAGAAGGCTGGTATGTGAGTGGACGAGGCAGCCCCATCTCCTAAAAGTCCCGCTGTCCTCTGCTCTGTTAGGTCACCGTGTTGGGGTCAGCTCTCCACCCCCAGGACTGACACTGAAGAGGTGAGGGTGTGTGGAAGTCCCCACACTTTCTCATCTCAACAGCTGGCAGGAATAAGCGAACCTCACCTCCTTTCTAGGACTGGGGAGAAACAGCAGCTCCACCAGGCACTCTCGCCTGAGGCTGCCAGATAAAATGTATGAGGTATTCTAAAAAAATATTTATCCCGAATTCAAGGTGTTCTGTGTTTTTGTGACACAAGGGATCAAGCCCAGGTAATATGCTAGACCTGAGCTCTACCACTCACTGAGCTAATCCCCAGCCTGTTGTATGTATTTTGGTGGTACTAAGGATTGCTTTCTTTTTCCAGCCCTGGGGTTTGAATCCAGAGCCTTCGCACTGAGCTACATTCCTCAGGCCTTTTTTCATTTTGTATTTCTGAGGCCAGGGATTTAAAGGTCTCACTAAGTTGATAAGTTGCCCAAGCTGGGCTCAAACTTGTGATTCTCCTGCCTCTGCCCCCTGGAATGCTGGGATCACAGGTATATATCACTGTGCCCAACCTATCCTATGTTTTGTTTGATCTGGAGAGGGCATCTCGCTATGTTGCCCAGGCTGGTCTCAAATTCTTGGGCTCAAGTGATTCCCCTGCTCACATTTTGTGTTTTTATTTGCTAACCCTAGCAACTGTGCTCTGGTCCTCAGGGAACTGTAAAGATAAGCCACCCTGGTTATCTGGATGGGAAGGTTTCCTGGGCCTGCAACCTCCGTTTTTGCATGTATAATCCTAGCTGACCAAGAGCCTCACGATGCCGCAGGCTTATCTGACCAGGAGGATGGGCCTCAAGTGCCCAGGAGTGACCTGGAGCCCTAGACAGGCTCCTTGGCCCTTTCCTGCAGGGCTGCTGCCCTTGGGGCTGGGAAGAGAGTCCCATCCTTACGGTTGTCTTCATTCACCAAGCCATAGCAGACTTCGTAGGCCGTGATCTCGCCATTGGTCTCAGCTGGCTCAGCCCAGCTCAGCTGGGTCACCGTGGAAGACACGACATTGAAGGCCAGACGTCCCGGCTCGCTGGGTACTGCGGAGGGCCAGGAAGAAGACTGTCAGCAGCAGAGGGAGGGCCTTATGGGGCAGGACTTGGAGGCAGGGCACCCTGGTGTCGGGGTAGCTGGGGACGAGTGGATTGACAGAGCAAAGCCTCACCTTCCTGGTTGGTGCGGCAGGACACCAGGGAGCTGTAGGGGCCCTCGCCCTGTGCCCCGTAGGCGCACACCTTCATCTCATAGTCGCAGTACGGGTACAGATTGGTGAGCTCCACTGAGGGCACCTTGCTGTCGAGCAGGTGGGCTTCAGACTCAGAGTCGCCCTGGATCCAGTACTTCACCTGCTCCCGGCAGGGGGACCGGTCAGTGAGGAGTGGCGAGCGCCAGGGCCACTCGCCCACTACTTGCCCCTGCTCTGTTCCCTTCGCACAAGTGGGACACTGAGGCCCTGGGGGTTTGGACAGCAGAGCTGGGGCAGAACAAGGAGGTCTCCCCAGTGGGGGGCTCCTTCCAGGAAGGAGAAAAAAATGTCTGAAAGACTCAGGGATGGGTCTCCCTTATAAGCCAGGCTCAAATGGGGTTTCCTTCTGTCTGCTTGTGCTTAGACCTACTGGATCCAAACATGCGCCCCTCCCTCAGGGCACCCCACCTCTCCCCTGGGTGCTGGGTGATGGCTCACGGCCCCCACCTTACCCTGTACCCCATTGGCTTGCCAGGAGGGGGCAGCCAGTTGAAGTGGATCTTCCGGGACCCAGCAGCCTTGGCATTGGGATTCTGTGGGGCGCCCAGGTCTCCACAAGGGGATGGTGATGATGACAGCGTCTGACTTATGAGGTTCCGGTCCAGTTCATCTAGTGGAGTGATGGCGAACCTTTTAGAGCTTTCAGTGATACAAATGGCCCACTGTGGCACATGTGCCATAGGTTGGCCACCACTGATCTAGTGGATCAAGGCAGAGCGGGGCAGCCAGCTCTGAGGCCACCAAAGGCTGCCAGACTCAGATAACACTCTGGGTCCCCTCACCCTGAGATGGAACTGAGTCCTGCCCTGCAGCTTCTCCGAGAAGGGGCGGTGCAGAGGAATGAGAAAGAGGCGGAGCTCCATCAGATCCTCCTTCTCCCTTGGCAGCCAAGAGGATGTCCCACACAGGACATTTGTGTCCTGGTTTCTCCCCTCAGTCAGGCCTGTCCTTGGAGATGGGCTCCCAAACACTGCCATGCCGGGGCCAAACACTGATAGGTACTAACTGGCTCACACGTCCAGAAACACACACATGAGGTCAAAGGACAGGGGCCCAGTGGGGAATCAGGCTGCGTGGGCACATGATCTCAGCCTCTCTGGGGAGGGTAGGATTGTCAGCTAAAGTACAGTTAACTTTGAACTTCAGATAAACAAAATTTTTTTTTTTTTGATAAGTGTGCTTCACATGGCAAGAGCATACTCATCCTGCCATGTGTGCGCTGTTTATGCGAAATTCACATCGCACTGGGTGCCCTGAGCTGGTGTTTGCTGAGTCTGGCAGCCCCAGCTGAGAAGCCCCCAGCCTCCCTCTCCCTGTGCTTGTGCACAGCCCAGGCTCTGCCCACCTCGCTCCCCACGCTCCCCAATGACGACGGTGGCCGAGTGGGGCTGGCCCAGGCGGGCTCCAAACTTGGGGTTGCTGAGTTGGATGTAGAAACGACGGATCTGGCGGCCCCGCAGAAGGGAGTCCACTTCCTGCAGCTCCAGGAGCTTCACCTGCAGCTCCTTCCAGGTCTCCCCAGGGTGGAACAGAAGCTCACCCTCCACTGGGATGTAGTCCTTGGATGGAAATGAGCCAGGGTCAGACCAGGGCCGGGGAGGAGGTGGCTCTCTGGATTAGGGCCTTTCGAGACAGGTGTGGTGGCACACGCCTGTAATCCTTGAATTGAGGAGACTGAGGCAGGAGGATTGCTGAGAGTTTGAGGCCAACCTGGGCTTTACAGTGAATTCAAGTCCAGCTTGGACTACATAGTGAGACCCTGTCTCAAAAGCCACACACACACACAAACTTAGAGCCTTCCAGGGGGATGAAGAGTCATAAATACACCCAAATAATACCCAGAGTCCATCCCAGACTGTCACATGTGGCCAAAAAATGGTTCATGTTAGCACTTTCTGGAAGTCAAGCCCTTCACTGTTATTATTGTTGTTGTACTACTGGAGAACCTAGGGTCTTCCCACTGAGCTTCCTCTTCAACCTTTTAAAATTTTTTATTTTGAGACAGGATCTTGCTAAATTATCCAGGCTGGGCTCAAACTTGCAATCTTCCTGCCTCAGCCTGCCAGAGTGTTGAGATTACAGGTGTGCAGCACCACACTTGGCTATTATTATTGCTGCTGTTAGCATTATTTTGATTATTTGAGACAGTATCACTGTCCCAGCTGGGCTTGAGCGCACTATGTAGCCCAGGCTGTCCTTGAACATACATTCTTCCTGCCTCAGCCTCCCAAGTGCAGGGATTACAGGTGGGCACCACCATGTCCAGCTAAGCACTTTAGATATTAATGCATTTAATCTTCACAGTGGTATGAGGCAGTGGTATTACTGTTCCACTTTACAGATGAGGAAAACAAGCCATTCAGGGGATTAAGGAACTTGCTCAAATTCATATAGGTTGTTGGAGCACAGCCAGGATTTGAAACAAATGCAGAGACACAGATATGCACCAAAGTTCCACACAGGGGCAGATGGGCAGCACGGGGCAGCTGGGATTTATTTGCAGGCCCTATTCAGGAGGGCAGGCTGGCTCGGAAATCTGGGGTCCTGCCCAGCCCAGGCCCTATTTGCTAGGTGGCGAGCCTCTGGCAACTCTGATTTCCTTTTCCAATGTCCTGGAGCTTGCCTGGCTTCCTAGGATGTGTGAGCACCACTACGTGTGCGCACATGTGTATGTGCGTGAGTGCGCGCATGCACATTATGGGAGAAAAGGACTTCTCACACATGAACACTAGGTGGCGTTTCACAACAACATTTTAGTTGCAGTGGCTCCTACCTGTGGCTGGCCATCCCAGTGCTGAAAGGGAGGTAGTACACAGGTAGAAGGGGTCTGTCTGTGAGTAACTGACATGGACACTTAATGCAACTCCAGAACTCTGATTGTTCTCAGATGGTAAGAAGCTACTAAGTACATTACTGGGATATAACCTGCATGTGAATGAATGATTTGAATTAGTGCAATCAGTGTAAAACTTCTTCAGTTTGGTAAGCAGGTGTAGTTACGTAGGGAAATGAGTGAGCAGAAGGGCTTTGGAGTGATGGCAAACCTATGGCACGTGTGCCACAGTGGGCTGTTCATCATCATTGAAAGCTCTAAGAGGTTTGCTATCATGGCTTAGGGTCTACACGATGTCTACATTTTGAATAGTTCAGAAAATGAATAACCCACTTTTGTATAGCTATTTGTATAGATAATATATACAGAGAAGGCCGGGGATTTAGCTCAATGGCTCCACTGCCTGCCTCACAAGCACAAGGACCCGAGTTCAATCCCCAGTACCAAATTAATTAATTAATTAATTAATTAATTTTAAAAAAAGAGAACGCAACTATTAACAATTGATGAGGCTGGGGATTTAGTTCAGTGGTGCTGTGCCTGCCTCACAAACACAAGGTCCTCAGTTCAATCCTGGTACCAAAAAAAACCCAAACAACAACAAAAGAAACTACCCCCACCAAAGAAAAACCAATTTGTGAACATTTTTAAAAGGTATATGGATGCTAATTTTATTAGTCTTCCCATGTTTCATTTAGCTTTGTTTTAATTTTTTTTCCACTACTGGGGATTGAACTAAGGAGCTTGTACTACTGAGGTAGTAACAGTGCCACTGAGCTAAATCCTCAGCCCCTTGGCTTTTGGGGGGCTTTGTTTTAAATTTTTAATTTATTACCAGCATTTTTAAACTACAACCATTCATATAAAAATTTCTCAAAAAATGTTGAAGATTTTCAAAATAAGTGAGAAATAGTACAAAAAAAAATTAAAAGTTAAATACTCAATTTTGTTTTGTATTTGTAGTGCTGGGGACGGAAACCAGGGCCTCTTGCATGCTAGGCAAGTGCTCTAACACTGAGCTACAACCCCAGCCCCTCAAGCATCTTTAGGAAAGCAGAACAGGGTAGCCAGCCTCTCCTGTATAATGAGGTATAATCAGTGGGATTTATGGACATACAAACTCTTTGTTGGAATTTGTATTAGGAGCTTTTAAACAGTGAGAGAATGTTTCCCATCTGTTATGGTTTGTGTCTAGATGTCCCCCCAAAGCCTCATGCAGTCTTAGATGGGGCTTTTTTTAAATTTATTTTTTATTTTTTGGTACCAGGGATCGAACTCGGGACCTTGCACCTGCAAGGCAGGAGGGGGAACCACTAAGCTAAATCCCCAGCCCAGATGGGGCTTTTTCAGAGGTGACTGAATCTAGAGTGTGTGATGCTGGGATTAAGGGTGTGTGATTAGTAAATCAGTATACTTATTGGCTTGGCACCTGGTAGTCTGGATAAGAAAAAGGGGCAGAAAGGCACTGTTAAGGTCTTTTCTGCTTTTGCTACCATGTGGGCATTATGAACTGTTTCTCCTCTCTGCCATGTGTCCCTCTGTCTTGGAGCCAGCTGATTATGGACTGAAACCTCTGCAAATTGAGCTAAATAAACCCTCTCCCTTTTTTTTTTTCTTTTGGTGCCAGGGATCAAACTAGGGATCAAACTCGGGACCAAACTTGGGACCTTGCGCTTGCGAGGCAGGCGGTGGCACCACTGAGCTAAATCCCTGGCCCCAAACCCTCTCCCTTTTAACTTTGAATATTGGGTATTTTGTCATAGCAAAGAGAGAAAAAATAACTAAGATACTACCAGTAACACAAAGTACAGAAAACTAGAGTGTGACTAGGGTGCCTGTGTTTGCTGAATGAATCTGTGGACTTAATGGGCTAGACTTTATTCCTCTGAGAGATTTTTGAGGGGTACTGACGAGTGAACCCAGAATCTTTGCACAGGGCTACATCCCCAGCCTTTTTTTGGGGGGGTACTGGGGATGGAACTCAGGACCTTGCGCTTGCAAGGCAGATGGCAGCAGGCAGCGGCACCACTGAGCTAAATCCTCAGCCCTACCCAGCCCCTTTTTTTTTTGAGACAGGGTCTTGCTAAATTGCTCAGGCTGAGGTCAAATGGCTGGGAGTACATATGTGCACCACTACGCTCATTTGAGAGAATTTTTTAAATGAATGATTTTAGTTTTTAAATGTTGGTGGCAAATTCAGAAGTAAAAACAAAACCAAAACCCTGTAGGCAAAATCATGTATGTCCACCACCATGTTCTGGTTGGGGACACCAGCTCTGGTCACAGCCCGGGCTGGAAGGGCTGCTTGCCCAGGGAGGACTGACAGTGACAGTTGGGAGGCCCAGGCACACGAGGTCTGTGGTTCCAGTTCTGGAAGCCCAAGGCCCCAGGACAGGCAGACATGGCAGTCCTGATGGATCCAGGGTCATGGAGGGGGACAGGACTGTTCTGGACAGGTCTCTGGCTCATTCAGCAGGAAGCAGCTCTCCTGGCCTAAGTCCCTGGCAGCAGTGGGTCTCACCCACAGTGTCACTGGCACCGTGAGACCTCCTTTCCAAGGGTGGCAGGGACAGAGGGACATGTCCTTAGGAGGCCTGCTGGGGGCGCCAGTAGCATGCAGGGACTCAGGCTCTGCCACATCAGTTCTGCCCTAGGCACTCTGGGTGACCCCTGACCCGTGACACAGCCTTACCCGGTTGGCCTGTGCTGTGTTGTCCTGTGTGCGGTAGGAGACCTGGGACTTGCCGTTGTCTAGGATGCGCCGGATGACAGGAATGTGGGCTACTTGCTCACCACGGCTGACCAAGTACTCGGGCTGCTCGAAGGATACCACCCCGCTGGCTGCAAGGAGCCAGGGTGTCAGACAGCGGTCCTGGCCACAGTCCCCTCTCGGCTCCTGCCCTCCTTCCAGCCCAGCCCATCCCACCACTCTGGGGAGTGTAAGGGAATGGGATAGGAAAGTCTTCCAGAAGATCTGAAGCGCTGGCAGAGGCAGGATCCAAGATGGAGCCCTGAAGGTCCTGGGGTTGGGGTGGGGAGGAGGGTTGGGGCCCTCTGGTACAGGGAGGACCGTCCTCAGCATCTGGGCGTCCATAGTGCAGTACCCTGGCTCCCCCTCCTCTGGATGAGGAATGGGGCTCCCTGTGCTGACACTGACAGGGCCTCTCACCTATGAGCGCCGAGGAGCAGGTGCTGTGCACAGAGGCCCGCATCCCATTGACAGGTAAAGGAGCTGAGGTCACAGAGGTCTAGGGACTGGCCTCGTCTGTATGGCCAGCTCCCACTTATCGTTGGTGGCTATCAGGGGGATCCTGGACCACCTTTGTGCTTCCCTGCCGACCCCCCAACCCACCTTGCTCCTTGATGATGGTGATGTTTACCAAACGCCGACCCAGGGTGGCGGTACCCACGGGCACGTCAATGGCCTCCACCAGCAGCTGCTTCTCCTCGTCGTCCTCGGGCCGGATGAAGAGGGGCACGCGCACGTCCACCAGCTCCACGCCCTCCTGGAATTCCACCATGCCTCGGGCATCTGTGGGGGGTCAGACGGGGTCTTGGGGCCGCACAGTGGAAGAGTAAGGGGGCAGTGCAGGGAGGCTCCCACCTACCCTGCTCGGCAGTGAGGGTGTAGTAGCCAGGGGCCACCTTGAGCTCGTGGAACGCGCCCTGCTCCACCTGCTTCTCTGTCAGCTTCAGCAGCGCCTGCTTGGCCGAGCGGGGCGCCATGAGCACCGTGTCCACGATGGTATGGTCTTGCCTGGGTCAGGGAGGGTGGTCCAGGTGGAGGAGTCAGTCCGGCACCTGCCCCTGCCTGTCCCACTTCCGGTCCTCCCCCAGGAGGGACAAAACGTGAGACGGCAGGAGTGCAGGGTCTCGAGAGCCAGGTGCTGCCGGAGACACTGCTGGCCCCAGCACCCTCACCCATGACACAGGCTCGCTCACCACTCCCCAGGGAGGGTGGGCAACCTGAGAACCGGACAGCACAGCAGAGCTCAAGACAGCCTCCTGGCTTCAAGTCCAGACTGTGTGTGTGTTTGGTTTGGTTTCGCAGTGCTGGGGATCAAAGCAGAGCTCGCCTGTGCCAGGCAAGTCCTCCACAGAGCTATGCTCCAGCCCACGGCTCTGGATCAGTTGGGTATTTTGGCAGGGGGTACTGGGGTTTGAACCCAGAGGTTTCACACTGAGCTCCAGCCCCAGTCCTATTTATTTTTATCTTTTTGGTTTTTTGAGACAGTTCGTTTGTTGAGAATGGTCCAGGGAAGGACCCATGACCAGCAGCATGGCCCTGACGTCCTACAGGATGGAGATGGGGTGGAGCTGTGCCAGAGGGGCAGGGGGCAGGCAGTGGGCTCGTTCCACCCAATTATCTTCAACTCACTTTTTCCCGGCGTTGGGCTGCTGTCTGTGGGCACAAAGAGGGGATTATGAGCCATACGGTCCCTGGGGTGGGAGTATAATGTGCCTGGGGCTTGAGCTCCTAGAGTCGCTGTATGAGTAGCTGCCACCCAGCTTCAGGGACCCTGGCTGCCTGGCCTGGGGTTGTCAGGGCTCAGCACAGCCAGGCTGCACCCACCCAACCTGGGGCGCCGTGGGACTCACCGGAACTTGGTATGCTGGAGCTTGTGCGACCCGGCGATATGTCTGTATACCTCGTTCAGCTGCCGGGCAAAAGCGGGGTAGGGCTGTCAGGTCTGCCGGGGGAAGGCCTGGGCTGGGTCCTCAGACCCAGGCGCGGCTGCCTTCCCGGTGACCTCAGGGCAGGGACGTGTCCAATGGGCCCCTTTGCTGCCTTGCAAAGTCTAGGGCCCACGGCTGCTGCCCTCCAATCTCCCACCCCACTGTCATCGCACCCATCTGCCCAGCCCAGGCTCAGCTGCTTGGGTCCTCACATTCTCCTCCACCTCCTGGCGCAGCTGGTCACACTCTCGAGTGCCAGGCTTCATGAGGTTCTCAGTGCAGAGGCGGGCAAGGCGCAGGGACAGCCCGTAGGGAACTAGGGGCAGATGGGAGATGGGTGTCATCAGTCCCTTTGCAGCGCACCCCACAGAGCCCCCCGGGAACCATGCTAGGACAGGGTGGGGGACAGCGGGCCACCTGGGTGCAGCAGGCACAGCACCTAGGCCTGGGGCTTTGGTGCCAGCGGGAAGAGGCAGAGGCGGCTGAGCCCTGCCTGTAGCCGACACACAGAGCAGACTCAGAGTGACCCTGATCTGGAACAGGCCCGGTCCTCACCCAGCTCTGTGGGATTGGTGCTGGCAGCGTGGGTGGCAAAGCCAGGCCGCTGCACGTTGTTGGTGATCTTCCAGCGGACAGTGTCACGGCCCTTGAGGTTCCCGCTGCGCAGCATGGGTGTGTCCAGGTGGTCCGAGGCCATGAGGTTCTCCCGCAGCATGTAGTGGTCTTCCTTAAAGCCCACCATGTGTCCTGTGGGGAGCCGGGAAGGGGCCTCAGCAAGGCCCCCCAGCCCCACCTGGCCACACCCTCTGCCCCGCCTGGGCCGGCCGTACCTCTGTTGCAGCAAGGGAGAAGCGCCAGGCAGGCCTAGGAGACAAGGGGGGTGTGGGGAGGGCTGGGACTGCCACCCCACGCCAGGCAGGCCCCTCCAGCCACCCTGCAGGTTCACTGGGCTCAGAGGCGCTGAGAAGACACCTGTCTCTCAAACTTATTTGAACACAGAACTCTCTCTGTGCGTAACACACACGAATATCCTACAACACTGGGTTAGGGCAGCGGTAGCCTCTCTGTCCCTACACCCAGCCCTCCTCGCCGTACTTCCTCTACGCTTTCCTGTTGCCCTCTGTCCTCCCCAGCCGGATGGTCAGCACATGGCAGGCAGGTCCTGCCTTCCCTGTTGTGGCTCCCGGGCCTTTGGCAGGGGGGTGACCCCAAGAAGGGGCCCCCGGGGTCCGGTCTGCTGATGGTCAGGGAGGTAAGGGGCTAGGGTGAGAGGCACTAGAGCTGGGGCCTCTTATGACTTTGAGCCTCAGTTTCTCCAGCTGTCACAGAGAAGCCACTGATCTCAGGTGGTGGCCGAGAGGTCAAAATGAAATTGCGTAGATACAGTGCCAGGGGAACACAGAGAGCCCCATTGACCCGAGGGAAGAGTTGGACCCAGCAACAGAACCTGCTCAGGAATCCGGGCTCTAAGAAGTCCTGGGAAATCCCTGGGTTCATCATTGCTGCTGTCACTTAGGAGGGACATGGGCTCGGGGTTGGGTTAGCTGGGTCTTCAGGAGCCAGGATGAGGAAGAAGAGGGAACAACCCAGGGCTTAAAATGGTGTTTAGTAGCCAGATATGGTGACGCATGCCTGGGATATCAGCACTTTGGGAGGCTGAGGCAGGAGGATTGAGACTGTGGGCCTAGCTTGGGCAATTTAGTAAGAACCTGCCTCAAAATAAAAAGATTTAAAAACAGGTGGGGTGCTGGTGATGTAACTCAGTGAGAAGGCCTTGGGTTTAACCTCATTACTGCAAACAAACCAAAATGTATTGCCAGCCCCTTTTTGAGAACCTTCCCTAATTGAACTCATTTAAATCCTTGGCTCGGGGAGAGGCTGCAAAGTACCATTTCCCGAGGTCAGTTTTACTAGCTCGGGCTGTACAGATGAGGAAACTGAGGAGTGGAGAAATTGTATAAATTGCTCACTGGGACCAGAACCCAGGAGGTCTGGCTCCCTGGACTCGTCTCAGGGTGGACCGTGGAGGGAAGCCATGGCGGGTGGGGACCTGGGAGGCAGGGACAGAACGGAGAGGAGTCTGGGGCCTCACCTTGCAGCAGGCACAGTATTTCCAGCAGAGCAGCAGCAGCAGGGCCAGGAGCGGCAGGAGGAGGATGAGGAGCGGGATGAGCCACCACAAGGAGCCGGGAGGGCAGTCTGGGGGGAGAGGAGAGGAGGTGGTGCCTGCTCCCGCCGGCCCCGACTGCCGCTCCACCTACCCTCCGCCAGCTCACCCTTCTTCCTGTGCACCAGGACCGTGCTGTTGGGCCCCGGGACGCCGTCGCCCTCCACGGTGTAGCTGTAGGTGCAGTCGTCGTCCTCATCCCGGAAGGAGCAGTACTCCACCACCTCCTCCGCTGCGTCCACAGAAGTCAGCCGGGCACCGCAGCCCGGAATCCCCCCCCACCCGGAGCTGGGAGGCGCCGCCTTCCCTGGGTCTGCCCCGCCCACAAATCCGTGTTCCCCACCTCCCAGACTGGGGCCACATCTGGAATCTTGGTGCCCAGTCCGTGTATCCGGCCCTACTGCGTGCCCTCTGCTGCGGTACTATCACCGCCACACCAGGGGCTCCTCCCCAGACTTCTGTCCCATACTCAGCCGTGTGCCTCCCCCGCCAAACTGTATACTCACTACCTGGATTCTGTGCCTCTTGCCCAGACCTTTCTGTGGTACTAGAGAGTGAACTTAAGGCTTTTGCACTGAGCTACCTCCCCAACCACTTAAAAAAAATTTTTTTTTAAAATTTGAGACAGAGTCTCACTAAATTTCCCAGGCTGATTTTGAGCTTGTGATCCTCCTGCCTCAGCCTCCCAGAGTGTTGATATTACAAGTAGGCACCACCATGCCTGCCCAGACTTTTTACCCTTTTATTAGGCTCAGTGTCTCCTCTCCGCATTCTGTGACTCTTCCCTGTCCAGAATGTGTGCCCAGTATAGTGGCGCACGCCTATAATCCCAGCACTCCGGAGGCTGAGGCAGGAGGAACAATGTGTGGTCAAGGCCAGCCTGACCTAAAACTAAAAAAACTAACAAACTAGAAAAACAGACAGCACGTGTGACCTGGACTTGTGTCCCTTCCCAGAGGGACACCCTCCCTTGCCCTGATGGGCCATTACCGCCACCCAGCTCCCAGCCTGTGCTCCTACCTTTCTTAAGCTCATCCACGACCTTGACCTTGAAGCTGCACTCCTCACACTTTCGGCCCTTCTTCTCCCCAGTGCCCCAGGCCTGGCACTGCACACAGGAGCGCAGGTCTTCGCAGAGGCCCAGGCGGATCTGGGACGGGAAGGAGGGGCAGATGGGCACCATGTTGGGCTGGGCAAGGCCCCTCCCCAGCCTCGTGCCCTTGGCCTCCTCCTCCCTGGCACTGGACTTAGCCCTTCCTTTCCCTTCATGCCTGCACCTGGGTTCCCACCCTGACACCCCAGCAATTCTGGCCTTACCGCTGAGTAGTTGATCTCGCAGGTGGTGTCTGTGTAGAGCGACTGCCGGTTGCAGTGACAGCGGCCACACTCGCAGTGGCCACGTCCATTACAGATGCCCTGGACCAGGAGGGGTCGCCAGTGAGTCAGCTGCGCCCTTTCCCCGCCTAGTCCCTCCCTCTTCTCCACTGGGTTTTCTTGTGCCCCAGGGCCCCTCTGCTGCCCACACTCCCTGCCTCAGCCCAGGCCTACCCCATTGCTGTCGATGCAGGTGGCATTGCTGAGGGGACAGTCACAGCCCCGGCCTGTCCAACCAGGCTCACACACACACTGGCCCATGGAGCAGCGTCCCCGGTCTGCAGAGCAGGGTGAGGAGGAGAGGAGAGCCATGTTTGCACCTGCAGTCCCAGCTGCCCACTTGCTGGGGAGGGCTGGAGCCAAGGGCAGAAGCCATCTCTTCCTCAGGCTCCTGTTGGAGCCTCCTCCCCTCCATGTCCCCCTCCATCCTGCCTTCTGCCTTCCGCTCTGCAGCCAGAGCGATCATCCAAAACAAAAGTTTAATCACATGGCTGCCCTGTTTAAGATGCTCTAGTAGATCCTGGCCAATGCAGTAGGTGGGAAAAAATATGCAAGTGTTAGAAAATAAGAAAAAAGAACTGTTACTTTTTTTTCCCTCAGTACCAGGAACTGAACTCAGGACCTTGTGCTTGTCAGGCAGGCGCAGCACCACTGAGCTACATCCCCAGCAGAGTGTCATTATTTGTACGTATCAGGAATATAGTGTTTTTTTTGGGGGAGGATTGAGACAGACTCTTGCTATGTAGGTCAGGCTGGCCTTGAACTCACTATTTAGCCCAGGCTGGCCTCAAAGTCATGGCAGTCCTCCTGCCTCGGCCTCCTGAGTGCTGGGGTTACAGGCATGCACTACCACACCTGGCAGGAATGTGTTTCAAGATATCCAGGAGAATCTAAAAATAAATTATTAGACTTTGTAAGTGACTAGATAAAAGATAAACATGTACCCAGGTGTAGTAGCACATGCCTGTAATCCCAGCATTTGGGAGGCTGAGGCAGGAGGAGCACCACGAGTTGGAGGCCAACCTGGGCTATATAGTTCAAGGCCAGCCTGTAATACAAAGCAAGACCCTATCTCAAAAAAAAAAAAAAAAAAA